GAGCTGTGCCAGTGACCCCGTGGCCGTGGCCGTGTGCTTTGTCACCCGGGTAAGGGCGGGCATGGTGAGGGGCATGGGGGGCTCCAGGGGGGCACCGGGGCCGTGCCAAGGTCTCACCACGCTCCCTCTGCCCGCAGAGCCAGGAATTCACCATCTACACCCAGTACTGCAACAACTACCCCAGGTGAGTGGGGGCAAAGGGGGGTGGGCAGGGAGGTGGGCAGAGGTGGGCAGGGGTCTGAGCCTGCTCCCTTGCCCACAGCTCGGTGGCAGCGCTGGCCGAGTGCATGAGGAGCAAGGTCCAGGCGCGGTTCCTGCGGGAATGCCAGGAGCGGCTGCGGCACGCGCTGCCTCTCGGGGCCTACCTGCTCAAGCCCGTCCAGAGGATCCTCAAGTACCACCTGCTGCTCCAGGTGAGCGCCCGGCGCGTGGCACGGCATGGTGTGGGCACCCGCTGTGGCACGGGCACCTGGCAGAGGTTCCCTGGAGCAGTCTGGGCACCTGACAGGGCACATTTCCCTGGCACACCCCGGGCAAGACGTGCCCGTGGGCACTGCCCTGATGGCACGTGCTGTGCCCAGGAGATCGCCCGGCACTTCGAGCACAAGGCAGGGGACGACTACGAGCTGGTGCTGGAGGCCATCGACACCATGACCTGCGTCGCCTGGTACATCAACGACATGAAGCGCAAGCACGAGCACGCCATCCGCCAGCAGGTGGGCACCGGGGGGTCACCGCTGCTGGGGGGGCACTGGGTGGGCGCTGTGGCAGGTGTCCTGATGCTTGTGTCCCCTGTGTGTCCATGCAGGAGATTCAGTCGCTGCTGCTGGGCTGGAAGGGGCCGGACCTGACGAGCTACGGGGAGCTGGTGCTGGAGGGCACCTTCCGGGCGCAGCGGGTGCGCCACGACCGTGCCCTCTTCCTCTTCGACAAGGCCCTGCTCATCACCAAGCGCCGCGGGGACCACTACGTGTACAAGAGCCACATCCCGGTGCGAGACAGGGATGGGGCACTGGGGGGTGCTGGGCATGAGGGAGCCCACTGAGTGCTGGGGACCCCGGTGGATGCCAGGGATGGAGTGGGTGTCGGGAACCTCGGTGGGTTCTGGGGTGGGAGTCCCGGTGCACTCCGGGCATGCTGATGCCTCTCCCTGCAGTGCTCCTCGCTGATGCTGATCGAGAGCACGAGGGACTCGCTGTGCTTCAGCCTGGCACACTACAAGCACGGCAAGCAGCAGCACAGCCTGCAGGTAATGGGGCACGGGGCATTGGGCACCCTGGGGACCCCCCTGGGAGCCCCCTGCCTGACCCCAGCGCCCTCCCTGTGCCCCTCAGGCCAAGAGTGTGGAGGAGAAGCGCATGTGGACCCACCACATCAAGCGGCTCATCCTGGAGAACCACCACGCCACCATCCCCCAGAAGGTGAGGGTGAGGTGGATGGCACCTTGGTGCCACCGGGGACCCCTCAGCATGGCGAGTGGGAGGCAGCTGCACCTTACCTTCACCCCCACCTCTCTTCATCCTCCCCCCACCTAGGCTAAGGAAGCCATCCTGGAGATGGACCTGTTCTGTGAGTGGCACCGGCACCCCACCATTCCCTCCCTGCCCTCCTCTGTCCCCCCCCGTGTTCCCCCGTGTCATCCCCTGTCCCCACAGACCCCCCGCGCCTGCCCCGCTGCAGCCCCGAGCGCCTGAAGAAGAGCTGGTCCTGCCAGCCCCTGGGTGACGCTGCCACCGAGCCACTCCAGGGACGCCGGCAGTCCGGTGAGAGCTGCGTGTCACCAGTGTCCTGACTGTCCTCCGTGTTCCCACTGTCCCCAGTGTCCACACCACACCACCTCCACCACTTACCCAGGCCAAGCCATGGCTGGGTGACACCAATGCCTGCAGGGAGGGTGGCACTGGCTGCTGATGGTGTCCCTGTTCCTGTCCCCACAGAGCCCTTCCAGCACCAGGAGCACATGGAGACGCTCCTGGAACGGCTGCAGGGACACGGGGGGCGCAGGCAGTCGGGTGCGAATGGCAGCAAGGCTCGGGGGGCTCGGGGTGCTGACAAGTTTGGGGACACAGGGGTGATGCCACTGTCACCTCACCTCCCCACAGAGCCCTCCAAGCACAACCTGTGGCACCTGGGCGAGCAAGGTGAGCTGGCAGGGCTGTGGCACCGGCGTGACAGGCAGAGGGGCGCCCAGGGGCTGTGGGGGCAATTTTGGGATGCTGCACCCCCCTAATCTCTGCTTTTCTCTCTCCTGTTTGGCAGGGCTGAAGGTAAGGCTGGGTGTGGGTGGGTTGGCGTGCCCAGTGCCCCCCAGCCCTGGCACAGGGCGCTGAGCCCTGCCCTCGCCCCCGCGCAGCATTCTGGCAGCGACGGGGCACTCCTGGAAGGGGGGGAGCCCCCCCAGCACCCCAGAGCCTGGACAGCGGCTGAGGGCATGGTGGAGGAGGAAGAGGAGGAGGAGGGAGAGGAGGCTTTGGGCAAGGACTGCCAGGAAGAGCTGCCTGAGGCTGGGAATCGGCTGGTGGAGCCCCAGGAAGAGCAGGTACCCACCTCGGTCCCCCGGATCGCTTCTGGGGTACCCCATGTCTCTCCCAGGGCACACAGTATAGCTCCTGGGGCATCCCACATCACCTCCTGGGCACCCCATGTCCCTCCCTGGGCAGGACCCAGTGTCATTCCCGGGGTGTTTCCATATTGTTTCCAGGGCACCCCATATGACTCCCAGAGCACCCAGTGTCACTCCTGGGCCCTCCATATTGTTTCCAGGGCACCCAGCATCATTCCCAGGGCATCCCACATCTCTTCTAGGGTACCCCACATCACTCCCAGAGCATCTCACACCACTGCTGGGGTACCCCACATCAGTACCAGGGCACCCTGTGTTGCTCCCAGGGCCACTGCAGGGTCCTAAGCTGTGGTTTGGCTGGGACTCCCCCTACTTGGAGCATCCAGTGCCCCCTCAGCTCGTGACACCCCACCTTTGCTCTCGCCCAGGCCGTGGGGCACTCATGGGTGCTGGAGGGACCCAAACGGCCGAGCAGCTGGGGGCCAGGGAGCTGTGAGAAGGTCAGTGCAGCCCTGCAGCCCCCACCTGGGGGTCCCCAGGGACCCAGCACCCACTCACCCGCTGGCAGCTCCGGTGAGCACCGTGAGGTGCCAGAGGCACCCAAATCCCCATCCCCGGCGGGGCCCCCGGCACTGCCCAGTGGGGACAGGGAGCCGGAGCGCGCTGCGGAGGATTTGCAGGTGCTGAGCAGCGAGGAGGAGGAGGAGGAGGAAGAGGAGGAGGAAGGAGCTGCCAGCATCCTGCCGCCCTCGGTGCTGGACCAGGCCAGCGTCATTGCCGAGCGGTTCGGCGGCGGCAGCAGCCTGTCCCGGCGGAGCAGCCTGGCACTGGAGGGGCCGCTGGGACGCGCCCCCAGCCACGGCGGCAGCACCCTCAGCCTGGATGGGGGCCCCCCGCTCGAATCCGGGGAGCCCGGGGGCTCCTGCAGCACCATCCCCTCGCCCGAGCCCTTCGCCAGAGCCCGCCGGGAATCGCTGCTCTCCAACCGGGACCGCCTGCTCCTCGACAAGATCAAGAGCTACTACGGCCACGCCGAGCACCGCGACGCCGGTTTCGGGGTGCGCCGCCGCGAGAGCCTCTCCTTCATCCCCAAGGGGCTGGTGCGCAGCTCCGTGTCCCGCCTCAACGGGCTCCCGCGGCCCCCCGGGAGCCCCGAGCCCCCCTCGCAGCCCGAGGCACCGGAGCCGTGCCAGGAGAACGGGGTGCAGCCCCCCGAGCCGCTGCTCATCCTGGAGGAGGATGATGTGGGCGCCGGGGGGTCACCTCCGGGGCCGCCCCCCCAGCTGCTGCTGACCCCCCCTCACCTGGGCACCAAGGTGTACCAGCTGGCACGGCAGTACAGCCTCCGCATCAAGAGCCGCCGCGCCGGCGCCCGCCGGCCCCCGCTGCCGCGGGAGGACGGGGACCCCCCTCCCAGCACACCCTCGCCGGCTGCGCCGCGGGACGGAGGAGGGCTGGCGGTGCCCCCGTCCCCGTGTGTCCCCCGCAGCCCCTCGAGCCCCGTGGGTGCCGAGCCCTTCGCCTGGCCCGACGTGCGGGAGCTCCGTGCCCGTTTCGGCGCCCCCCGGCCCCCGCCCGTGAGCCGCAGCCGCTCGGCGCCCGAGGGTCCCGTTCGGGGCGGGCGCCCCGTCGGGAAGGAGCGCGGCGGCGGCCGGAGCCGGAGCGCCGAGGCCAACGGGGGGTCCGACAGCCGGAGCCCGGCGCCGGCGAGGCACAGCAGCGACGGGGCGCTGTGGGTGGCGGCAGAAGCCCCCCTGGGCCCCGGGCAGCGGGTGCTGGTGCTGGAGCGGCTGCCGGAGCCCCCCACGTACGTGCAGATCCGCTCGCCCACCACCCGCGAGAAGATCTGCCTGAAGGCGGTGGTGGAGCGCTGCAAAGCCTACCAGGCTTCCGAGGAGTACCGGCGGCGCTGCCCCGAGCCCCCCGACACCCCCGAGCCCCCCCGCCACGGCCTCGTCAGGGACCTCCGGCAGAAGTTTCAGAGCCTCGACGCTGCCAGCTAGGAGGGGGGACGGGGAGAAGGGGCGTTCTGTGGACCCCCGGGGGAAGGAGCACCCCACGGACCCTCAGGGGAAGGAGCACCCCATGGACCTCCAACTTACCTGGAAGAAAGGGCACCCCACGGCCCCGCAGGTTGTTTAAGAGAAGGAGCACCTTGGGGATCCCCAATTTGCCCGGAAGAAGGAGCACCTCATGGACAGCGAGCGTGTCCAGGAGATAGAGTATCCCATGGACCTCCAATGTACCTGGAAGAAGGGGCACCCCGTGGACCCCCCAGTCCACCTGGCAGAAAGAGCACCCTGGGGACCCCCAACCTACCTGGAAAAAGGGGCAGCCCATGAACCTCCCCCCGTGCCCAGGACCAGGGGCCCCCCCATGTCCCCTCAGTGCCCCCCAGCCCCCCTCCCTCCCCCTGGTGCCCAGCACTACACCCCGCTCGCTTTCATATCTTTATTAGAAAAAAAACCCAAACTGAACCCAAAGTTCCTCTCTGGTCACCCGCCCCCCCCGAGGTGTCTTGGCCCGGCCGCGGGGTGCAGGGGGGGTCCCCCCACCCCGGCTGGGGGGGGCACGGGGCGGGGGGTGCTGGAGAGGGGCCCCCATGGGCCGACGCTCTTTGGTTGGTGCCCGCAGGGGCCGGGGGGGGTCCCCCCTCTGCACCCACGTGCTGCGGGGGGGGGGTTTATGGCTTTGGGGGGCACTCGCGCACTCCCCCGTGTGGGTGCTGGGTGGGGGTCCATGCACACCCGTGCCGTGCGTGCGGAGGTGGGGGGGGCCGGGGGTGCACCTGCATGCGGGGACACACGTGTGCAGACGTGTGCGTGCAGGGACACGCGTGGGCACGAGGGGCACGCGCCTGGGGGGGGGCACCTGCGCTCGCCTCCGCACAGGCGTGTGCCTGAAACGTGTAAATGTATGTATATATATAAATACAAATATATATATATATATATATATATATACACCTGTGCACACGGACACGTGTGCTCGCGGGGGGGGGCTCCCGCCCACGTGTGTGACCCCCCCACACGTGCCCTCTAGACCCGGTGGCACCTGTACAGGTACTGCACACGCGTGTCCTTACACACGCGTGGCCCCGCTGGCGTGACGTGGGGTGTGTCCCCCCCCCCGCCCGCCATCCGGGGGGGTTATTTCTTTTTTGGGAAGAAGCTGAAGCGTTTCTCCTTGTCCTTGCGGGGCAGGGGGGGTTCGGGAGGCGCCGGGGGCAGGGACAGGGGGAGGCTCTGCGTCTTCCCCCAGCTGCCCCGACACTCGGTGATGGCCGCGCTCAGCCCCTGCAGCCAGGCCTGCAGCTCCTCCTGCGGGCACAGGAGGAAGATCAGGAGGGGCTCCCCTGTCCCCCCAGCACCTTCCCGGCCACCCCCATGTCCCCCAGGGTGATGCCAGTTACCCTACGTCTTCCCCAGCTGCCCATATTCCCCTGGGGCACTGCCAGCCCCTCATTGTGTCCTTATGGCACCTCTTGCCACCCCTGTGTCCGCTGACCACCACTGGCCCCCCAGTGTCCCCCTGGCCACCCCTGTGTCCCCTGGGCACTGCTACTATCCCCCTGTGTCCCCCTGGGCACCACCAGCCACCCCACATCCCCCTGATCACTGCTGGCCACCATGTCCCCTGCGCACCAGTGGTGTCCCACTGTGTCCCCTGGGAACAGCCAGCCACCCTGTGTCCCTCTGGACCTCTCTGGCTACTACCCCTGTGTCCCCTGAGCACCACTGGCCACCCTCTGTCCCCCCGGTCACTGCTGGTCACCATCGTGTCCCCCAGCCCCCCCATGTCACCCCCCAGGCCACCCCTCACCTCATCCTTGCCGTGGAACAGCCACTCGCTGCCGTTGCTGAGCCTGGGGACAGAGGACATAGGCCAGTGCCACGCGTGCCCACCGTGCCCCCCGCGCCATGCCGTGCCCTCACCTGAGCTTGAAGACATGTTTCTTCTTCTTGTAGCCAGCGGGGACCTCGCAGCGGGCGTCGCGCAGCCCCAGGGGCTCCTCGCCCTGGCACGGCAGCCCCAGCGCGCGGCTCTTGGCGTCCTTGAAGAAGGCGAGCTGGCCGCCCCGCAGGACACAGTACCGCGTGCTCCACGACCTGCGCCAGCACCGGGTCACCCTGGTGTCACCGCCCCGCCCGGGGACACCGTGGGCCCCGCCGCCGCTGCCACCGCCCTGCCTACCGGTTGGACGCGCGCTTGGTGGCCGCCTCCAGGTCGTGCTTGCGGCCGAGGTAGCCCTCCAGCTGGACGCTGCTGACGCGGGCCGGCAGCGTGGCCGGCTCCTCCGGCTCCTCCCGTGGTGGCCGCGGGGTTGGTGACACCGGCTCCTCGTCGCCCGTCCTCGGCGCCAGCTGTCGCAAAGCAACAGCGCGGTTACGCCGCGGCGTCACCCACCGCCACCGAGGGATGCGCGGGGAGGTGTTGTCCCCTCCCGTGGTGGCACCGGGTACGTGGGTCACTGTCACCAGAGGGTCACAGTCCTTGAGCTGGTCGATAAGCTCTGGCCTGGGGGCAGGTCACCCCCAGGTCTCAGTGCCAGTGACTGCACCAGCTCTGGTATGTGGGAACTGGTGGCTACTGGGAGGATGCCAGTGGGCAGCTGGGACACAGTCCAGCCCTGAGACCCTCATTACAGTGCCAGTGACCCCACCAGCTTGAATATTCAGGAACTGATGGCTACTGGGAAGACTCTAGTGATGGCTGGGACCCTCATTGAAGTGCCAATGACCCCACCAGTTTCAGTATGTGGAAACTGGTGGCTACTTGGAGGACTGCAGTGAGCATCTGGGACACAGTCCACCCCTGGGACCCCCAGTAGTGTCAGTGACCCCACCAGCTCGAATATTCATGAACTGGTGGCTACTGGGAGGACTCCAGTGACAGCTGAGACCCTTGTTGAGGTGCCAGTGACCCCACCAGTTCTGATATCTGGAAACTGGTGGTTACTGGGAGGACCCCAGTGAGCATCTCAGGCACGGTCCAGCCCTGAGACCCTCAGTACAGTGTCAGTGACCCCACCAGCTTGAATATTCAGGAACTGGTGGCTACTGGCAGGACTCCAGTGATGGCTGGGACTCTCATTGAAGTGCCAATGACCCCACCAGTTTCAATATGTGGAAACTGGTGGCTACTGGGAGGACTTTGGTGATGGCTGAGACCCTCATTGAGGTGCCAGTGACCCCACCAGTTCTGATATCTGGAAACTGGTGGTTACTGGGAGGACGCTGGTAAGCATCTCAGACATGGTCCAGCCCTGAGACCCTCAGTACAGTGTCAGTGACCCCCCAGCTTGAATATTCAGGAACTGGTGGCTACTGGCAGGACCCCAGTGAGTGGCTGGGACATGGTCCAACCCTGGGACCCCCAGATCTTGGTGACAGTGACCTCATCAGCTCCGGAATGTGGGAACTGGTTGTTGCTGGGAAGGCCCCAGCAAGCAGCAGGGACCCTCAGCACAGCGCCAGTGAAACCACCCCAGCTCCAGTACATGGGAACTGGTGGCTACTGGAAGGATCCCAGTGAGCAGCTGGGACACGGTCCAGCCCCAGGCCCCCCAGATCTCGGTGCCAGTGGTGCCCCAGACGTGGGGTGATGAGTTTGAGCTGAGCCAGGTGAGCAGTCCTGGGAGCCACCCTACTGCTGCTGCCAGCCCAAGGCCTTGGGGACAGCAAGAGGTGCAGTCAGGGGCCGTGGTCCCCAGTAAAAGGGATACCCATCCAGCTGGGTGCCACAGGAGGGGCGAGGCCAGGGTCCATGTCCCCAGGAAGCCAGGAGATGCCCGTGTCCTGAAGCAGGCAGAAATGATCTTGGGCCCAAATAGGTACTCAGGGGCCCTGTTTCCAGGCAGGCAGATGTGATCCTGTCCCCAAGGAGCCAGGAGATGCCTGTGTCTCCATGCAGATGGGGCTCCTGTCCCCAAGCAGGTGAAAGTATCCATGTTCCTGAGCAGGCAGAGAGGACCCTATTCCCATGGAGCCAGCAGATTCCCAAGTTCCCAGGAAGGCAGAGCAGGACCCTGTCCCCATGGAGCCAGAAAGTGCTCGTGTCCCTGAATAGGCAGAGGGGGCTCCTGTCCCCAAGCAGCTGAAAGTGACTGTGTCCCCAAGCAGGCAGAGCAGGACTCTGTCCCCAGCAGATGCCCATGTCCCCAGGCAGGCAGAAACGCTCTTGTCCCCGTACTCCAGGATCTTGCCCCCAGGCAGGGGAAAGTGATCTTGTCCCCAAGGATCCAGAAGATGCCCATGTCCCTGAGCAGGCTGGCAGTAGGCAGAGGGGGCTCTGTCCCCAAGCAGATGAAAGTGGCTGTGTTCCCAAGCAGGCAGAGCAGCACCCTGTCCCCGAAGAGCCAGAAGAGCCCTGAGCAGGCACAAATGATCTAGTCCCTGTGTAGGTACTCGAGGATCCTGTCCCCAGGCAGGGGAGAACGTTCCTGTCCCCCGGGAGCCAGCAGACACCCGTGTCCCCAAGCAGGCAGAAGAGGCAGAAGGGGGTCCTGTCCCCAAGCAGGCAAAGCCTCCAGAAAGCCATCATGTCCCCATCATGCAGGCAGAGCAGGCAGGAGGAGCAGAGAGGCTGGCAGCGGGCACAAGGGGGCTGGCACATGAGGTGACAACACAGTGCCCTGTGGGGTGACGATGCCTTGCAGGGTGACAACGCCGTGGGGGTAACGATGCCCCACAGGGTGCTGATGCCTTGTAGGGTGGCAATGTCCCACAAGGTGACAATACCCCAGAGGGTGACAGTGCTCCATGGGGTGACGATGCCCCATACAGTGATGGGTCTCTTGGGGTGACGATGCCCCACAGGCTGCTGATGTCCCACGGGGTGATGATGTCCCTCTGGACGACAATGCCCCAGGGGGTGACGATGTCCCGCAGGGGTGACGACGCTCCTTGGAGTGACGATGCCTCACAGGGTGACAGTGCCCCATAGAGCGATGATGTCCCTTGGAGTAGCCGGGATCTGCCCACTCCAGGGCAGACACCCCAGCTCTGACTGCTGCACCAATCCCAGACACACACGTGCACCCACAGGTGCCACCCCCCATGTCACCCCAGGAGCTGGGGCAAAGGGGACCTGCAGCACCCCTCTGGCTGCCTGGCCTTTTTGGGGTAATTTAGCATTTATTCAACTCAGGGCAAGGACAAGGTGAGGGCTGGGGACACAGGGAGCTGTCAGCACAATGTGGTCACAGTCACAAGGGGTGCCAGGAACGGTGGGACATGCAGGGAGACAGTTTTGGCTGTCGGAGAAGGTAAAAGCTAAACTCAAGAACTGACCGGCTCTGGTCCATCGGTGGTGGGTATCGAAGTGTCCTGTGTGCTCACATCCTTCCTCTTCTCCTCCTCATCCTCTTCCTCCTCAGACCTGCACAGGGAAGCAGCCATTCAGCATCCCCATCCCAGCTGTGATCCTGCAGGGATTTGGGGCTGGCTGCAGCTCTCCTGTCCCCACCAAGGGATGAAAACCCTGTCAGGGTGAGGCTTGACCTTCATGCTGTTGAAGAGCATCAGTTTGTTGCTCGGAAAAGGCAAATTGCTAAAAAGCCCCTTAATGTTAAAAAAAATCCTTAATGGTTTGAGAAAAACGATGTGGAAATGGTGTCCCTGGCCACGTGGAATGGTGGTGGCAGCCCTTACCCGGCATCCAGCTCCCCATCCAGATCCAAGTGGTAGTCAGGAGCCTTGGAGTGCGTTGTCCCGTCCCGCACCAGCCCCTCACGCAGCGACCGCCCGCCCAGGAGCTCCAGCTGCCGGGGAAGAGGGGAGAAAGTGTTAAGGGGGAGCTGAGGCAGGGCAGGCAGAGGCCTCATCACGAGCCTTCCTCACCGTAGTCAGCTTCCTGAGGGCGGCGATTCTCTCCTCCCAGGTGGCCGAGGACTTCTCAAAAGCCTCGTGTCGCTTCAGCAGCTTCTCCACCGCATCCACCGTCTGCCCGTAGTCGCTGCTGGCCAGGTAGGGCTCCTGCGCCATGAGCCACGACTCGGCCACCGAGGCATCGCGGGAGAACTGGCAAACCTCCAACACTGGGAGAGGGATGGACAGAGCTCAGCCCCTGGCCCACCCTCCCTGCTACCCCCTCGGCACCGCTGTGCACTTCCCTGGCACCCCCGGCGCACTCACGCAGCCGCAGCCGCTCCCAGCGCTGCTCCCACGTCTCCATCATGGCTTTCCTCTTGTCCACCAGCTCCACCAGCTTCGCCTTGATCTGAGAGGGAAAGCCATGAGGGGGTGGCCCTGGTGGCACCATCCATCCACGCCCCCCCATCCCTGATTCCTTCACCTCTGGTGAGTCCTGGTGCTTGCGCTGCAGCAGCTTCTTGCCCAGCTCGATGCAGGTGGTGAAGTTCTTGCTCCGAGCATCCACCTCGGCCCTAATTCCCTGGTGGTACTTCATCAGCAGCTCCACCGAGGAGACATCCCTGGGGACAGAGGGGTACCAACGTCAGTAGTGCCATCGGTGCCGTTCCCGTCCCAGGTGCCCGCCGGGCGCACCCATACCTGGGTTTCTCCTGTGTCTCGATCTGCCGGACGGTGCTCTCCATCCAGGAGAGCAGATCCCGTGCCATGCTGAAGAAGCGGTGCTTGTCGGCCGTGTCCACCAGCCGTGCCCGGCGCCCGCTGCACGCCTCCAGCAGCTCCTGCAGCGCTCGGGACACCTCCTGCTCCTGCTCCTGGATTCCGGCCGCCTTCTCCCCGGCATAGGCCGTCTGCAGGCGCGCCGCCGTCTCCCGAAACTGCTGCACCTGCACGGAGCATCGTGGAATGGTTCAGGGTGGAAGGGACCTTAAAGACCATCTAGCCCAACCTCCTGCTGTGGGTAGGGGCACCTTCCACTAGACCACTGGGAATGCTGAGTGCTGGCATCCGCAATGCCGGGATGGAGCCTCACCTGTGCCTCCAGCAGCTGGAGATCCCTCTCGAAGGCGCTGTGCATGCGGTGAAAAGCCTCCACCGTGCCAGCGTCCTCGCCCAGGTCCTGGGGCAGCTCCTGGCGCCGGGTGGCAATGAGGGCCAGCAGCTCAGTGCCGTCATAGAAGTACTTGTGGAGGTCGTGGGAGGCGGCAAGGAGCTGCATGCGGGTGTCGATCAGCTCCAGCAGGTCGGCCCAGCTCTCGTTCAGCCCGTCCTTCCACTCGGCCATGGTGGCCGCCTCGGTGTGCCCTGCGTCGATGAGGTCCTCGATGGTCAGGTTCACCCGGTCCACGCGCTCCTGCCCCACGCTGCCCGTCTCCCGCGCAAACTCCCGAAACTTCTCCCTCAGGAGCTGCACGGAGGGGAGAGAAGAGTCAAGTCACGCCCTCAAACCACCCGCTGGCACTGCCACGCTCACCCTGTGACCCTCACCGTGACGTGGTCCAGGTCCTGCCCCATCTCCTGGGAGGAGGCGACCACGTCGCGCTCGGCGATCCACTGCTCCAGGTCTTCCACCTCCCGCTTCAGCTGGAAGAGGTGGGACATGTTCTCCAGGCGCCGGCGGCGCTCCTCAGCCACCTCCTTCAGCCCCGCGTAGTGCTTGTCCACCTGGCCCTGCAGCCGGATGATCTGCTCCCTGCGCGGTCCCGGCACACAGACACCCAGTTCTCACCCGGGAAAAGATGTCCCCAACCCACCCATGTTGACAAGCAGGGGGGGTTGGGGGTGAAGGACCCGCTCTGTGCTCCCCATGTCCCTCTGCAGCCACCTCCCTGCCCAACCAGAGCAGCCAACACTGCCAGAGCTCCTGCCAAACCCCCCACCCATGCATCACTGAGGGCATGGGACCGCCCCGAGGGACAGGGGACACGCAGCAGTGGCACCTACCCCTCAGGGTGGCCGGCGGAGAGCAGCTGCTGTGCCCTCCCTGCCAGCTCCTTGATGGTGTGTCCGTAGTCCTCGATGGAGCGCAGCTGCCGGACATGTCTCTTCAGCATCACCAAGCCACTCTCCTCATCCTATGGCATGGAAGACAGAGGCTTGGTCAGGGGACAGGGACCAGGGTTCAGATCCACCGCCCACCCTACAGGGATGTCCTGGCTCCATCTGATGCCTTGGGGAGCAATGCTGAGCTCAGCGGGGCATGGCATGGCATGGCATGGCATGGGGTGGATAGTGTGTAATGGCACAGGAATGGCACATAGGAGTGTGACACACCACAATGTGTCCTGTTAGACATGGATGATGTCCAACAGCACAGCATGGCATGGCTCAGGTTGACATGGGGTGTCCCAGCACAGCATGACAGCACAGACCCCCCATGACATGGAGCACCACACGGATCCGCTCCTCACCTTTGGCTTCTCCTCGGGTCCCATGAAGAGCTCCTGCTCGCTGACCCAGGCCTCGGCCTCGCTGGCATCCAGGTAGTACTGCTGGGCCTCTTCAGCCTCCTGCAGGCGCCGGTGCCGGGCGGCTGCCTCCTCCTGCAGGGTCTCCCACAGCGCCTGCAGCTCCTGTGCTCGTGCCGCCAGCTCCGGGCCCGGCTCCTCACTGCTCCCCGCCGCCTCTCCCCGGCTCAGCACCTCAGCCAGGCGGGGGGCATGGCCCGCCAGCTCCTTCTGTAGCGTCTGCCGGGGGGCAGGAGGTCACAGTGATGGTCACCCAGGGGATGGGTGATCCCAAGGGACCCTCTGGGATGGTGGGTGTCGCCACAGCGCCTGGGCTCACCTGGTTCCTCTTGGCCAGGCGCTGCACGGTCGGGAGGTCAGTGCCATGATCTGTCGACCTCGCCAGGGACAGCCGCTCCTGCACCCACAGCTGCGGGAAAGAGCACCCACTGAGCCCCCCGCAGCACCCATGGGTGCCCCCTGCACCCCAGGCCCCGCTGTGGTGAGGATGCTCACCGTCTCATCCTCCAGATCCCGCCCCAGCTGGTACATGGCCTTGGCAGTCTCCAGCTCCTTCCTCTTCCTCTTCAGTGGCTCCAGCAGCTCAAGAACTCGCTGCCGGAGCATCTGCTCCTGCCCGGTGGCATCCGGCACGGCCCCGGCACCAGGGGTGCCCTGCCACCCCAGTTCCTCCAGCTCCTTCATCCACGTTCCCACTTGCTCTTCCAGTCTCTGCAGGGGCAAACCCATGTGAGCCAAGGGGGTCAGAGCCAAGCTGGAGACCCCCAGCCTCACTTGGGAACAAAAACCCATCACCTCGGACCTCCCACCCCTCCCCAAAGGAACCAGTGAGGTACCCCCACCCACCGTCAACCTCTTCAGCAGCAGGTTGGTGGCGGTGAGGTCCTGGACCTTCTTGGCGGCGCGCAGCTCCTCCTGCGCCCGCCCCAGCCACCTCTCCAGCTCCGCGTAGCTCTGGGCATACAGCGCCGAGCGCTCGGCCTCGAACAGCTGCCGACCCTTCTCCTCGGCGGCGCCGCGCAGCCCGTCCCAGCGCCGGCGCAGCTCCTCCAGCCGCCGCAGCACCACCTCGCTGTACTGCGGCTTGCGGCTCGCCAGCTCCGTCCCCTCCTGCGGCAACAACAGACAGGCTGGTGGCCACCACGGCACAGGGGCATCCCTCCCATGCCGCTGGCTGAGAACCTTCCAGAATCGTGGAATCGCTAAGGTTGGAAGAGGCCTCTAAGGCCACGGAGTCCAGCTGTTCCCTCAGTACAGCCAAGGCCACCACTGACCACGTCCCCAAGTGCCACATCCACACGACTTTTAAATCCCTCTACCACTGCCCTGGGAAGCCTGTGCCAGGGCTGGACAGTCCTTTCCATGAAGGAATTTTCCCTGATATATAACCTGAACCTCCCCTGGTACAGCTTGAGGTAGTTTCCTCTTGTCCTCTCCTTTGTTTCCTGGGAGCAGAGCCTGACCCCCACCTGGCTCCACCCTCCCGTCAGGGAGTTGTGGGGAGCGAGAAGGTGCCCCCTGAGCCTTGTTTTCTCCAGGCTGAGCCCCCCCAGCTCCCTCAGCCATTCCTCATGCTCCAGACCCTTCCCCAGCTCCGTTGACCCTCTCCGGTCACAGTGCCAGTACCCACCGCCTCGATCTTCTCCAGCCAGCTCTGGTTGGGTGCCAGCTCAGCCATGAATGCCTGGTGCTTCTGCCACTTGCTGTGGAGACCACGGGCTTCTCCGTAGGAGACATCCTGAGCCATCAGCATCTTCTCCTCCACCCAGGCATCAAACTGCAGGGAAAGGGTGTCAGGATTTGGCTGGTGGGGATGCCCCAGGGGTGCCACCGGCCGTGCCGTGTTCCTACCTCCCGGCAGCTCTGCAGGAAGGTCTGCAGGTCGTGGTTGTCCTGTAGCAAACCAGATGCCTCCTCCACCCTGGCCATGACGGCTCCGTGCCTGGCAGGGGACGGTGGATGGGTAGCGTCAGCCCCGCTGCCCACCCGCTGCCCACCCACCCACCAGCCCTGAGCTGGACTCACCGCTCCTGGAGAGCCTGGCACTTCTCGGAGATCTTCTCGGCAAAGATGTTCCCTTCAGCCACCAGCTTGGTGCCACCAGCCACCGCCTCGGGGACCTTCTCAGCACTGCTCTCCACACCGGCACGGAAATCCTGGAAGCGGCGCAGGGCAGCGGCCGAGCCCTCCAGCGTGGGGGGCAGCTCCAGGTGGGACAGCGTGTACTCCTGGGGGGGCACAGCAAGGGTTCAGCGGAGGGTCATCCCTTCTTGGGTGTGTGCCAAGGAACCCCAAAGGACGTTGCCTGGGCACCCACCTGGTTGGTGAGGAGGATCTCCGCCTGCTTGGCGTCGCGGAGGAACTCCTGGAAGTTGCGGCACTGGGTGAGGAAGCGCTGCCGAGCCTCCGCCATCCTGCCCAGGGCAGCCCAGCCGGCCTCCACGCCGCCCAGGCGCTGCCGCAGCCCCTCGTACTCGGGGTCCGTCTGCCCCCCCAGCACCCGCTCTCCCGCCTCCACCAGGGCAGCGAAGGCACCCGCGTGCTCCTCGGCGTCACGCCGGGCCGCCTCGTGCCGCTGCAGCATCTCCTCCGCCTCCGCCAAGGACGCCGGCACCTCGTCGGCAGCCGCCACGGCTTTCTGAGCGCCGAAGAGCCACGCCTGGAAGTCATCCAGGTCCTGCAGGAAGCTCCGGAGCTGCCCAGCTTCCCCCAGGGATGCCGCCCGCTCTCCCAGGGCTGCCTGCAGCTCGTCCCAGGCGGACGTCGCCGTCGCCAGCCTCTGGGCCACCTCCGGGGCCGCCTCGGGCCTCTCCTCGGCCAGGCGCTCGGCCTGGGAGCGCAGGGCAGCCAGGCGGTCCTGGGCCACCGCCAGCTCCCGCTCGATGCCGTAGAGCTTGCGCTGGGTGGCCAGGACGCCGGCCAGGTCACGGCCCAGTTCAGCCGTGGCCTCCACCGCCCGGGCTTTGCTCCGCAGCCACTGCTGGGTCTCCTCGGACTCCAGGTTGTAGTTAAGGAGTCGCAGCGCCGAGCCCACCGCCCGCCGGCGCTCCGACACCAGCTCCCGGAAACGGTCCCACCTGCGGGACAGAGGCGTGGGGTGGTGGGGGATGCACTGCTGGGATATCACCCACCAGCCCACCCACCCCAGTGTCACCCACCACGGTACCTCTTGTTGAGCTGCTCCTGGCACTGCCGCACCTGCGGGCTCCGGGGGTGCCCGCTGGCCAGGAGCCCATCGGCTGCCTGGTTGACCGCGGCGATCTGGGAAGCCACGGCAGCCATATCCTGCTCCAGCCCGTCCAGCCTGCGGGGAGAGCCGGGCTGAGCGCGGGCAGCACCTCCGCACCAAAGCACGGCGGCACCGCCACCGCGGGGGCTCCTACCTGCGCTGCGCCACGTCCAGGTCCTCCAGCGCCTGCGGTACCTCCAGCTGCGCCAGCCAGGTCTCCTTGGAGCCCATCCAGAGGTGGCAGGCGTCGCTCTCCCCGAAGACGGTGTAGAGGTCCAGGGCGTCCTGCAGCTGGCGGCCGCGGCGCTCGGCCAGCGCGGCCGCCTTTGCGTGCAGCTCCCGCAGTGCCGCCAGCCGGCTCTGAGCCTCGGGGCCGGCGCGCAGCTCCGGCGGGAAGCCCTCGGCTTGCTGCGCCAGTCGGTCCAGCTGCTCCCGGGCGGCCGCCAGCTCGTCCAGCAGCTCCTGGTGCTGCCGCAGCAGGACGAGGGTGCGGGATTCATCCTGGCCCAGCTCCTCGGCGGCCGCCCGCCGCTGGGCATCCTGCAGCCCCTCCGCCAGCTCCTCCACCTCCACCTGGAACTGGAAGAAGCCCTCGGCTTCCCGCAAGCCGCGCCGCCGGAACGCCGCCAGCTCCTCCAGCTGCGTCCACAGCGCCTGCACGGCCGCCCCCCGCTCCCGCAGCCGCTCGGCTGCCCGGCCCGCGGCCGCCAGCCCCTCGCCCGCCGCCAGCGCCTGCTGCAGCCGCCCGCCCCGGCTCCGCAGCTCGGCCTCGAAGGCAGCGTGCCGGCGCTGGAGCAGCAGCACGCCCGGCAGGTCCTTCCCGAAGTCCAGGGAGGAGTAGAGCTGCTCCTGCTCCTTTATCCAGCTCTCCGCCTCGTCCAGCTCCCACAGGCAGGTCCAGAGGGAGCGGGATTGCTCCAGCAAGGCTCTCCTCCGTGCCGCCAGCACCTGCAGCTCCCGCCGGCACATCTCCAGGTGGCTCACGCGGTCCCG